CAAGTTTACCGTCTCAGAAGCTCACAGGGACAGGTCTACCCTGCCCTTACCAGTCACGACTTGTTGAATGGTCAGGAATAGGAGAGCAGCAGGGACTTTGGGAGCATACCAACCTCCCGACTAATTCAGCCACCCCAGGCTAATTAAATCAGAGTAGGTAGGAAAGACATCCAAGTATCGGTGTTTAAGGAAAACAAACCAAAAAAACCCTCCCAGGATAGTTTTTGTGTGTAGTTAAATCAGCAACCATCTTCTGCATATACGTGGAACCTGCAGAAAGCTCTCGGGGAAAACTCCCATTGTTTTTGAGTTACTTTTCCATGAGCTCTTTGAAGCTCCCCGGTGCTGCTCAGGTGCTGTTTCGTAAGGCCAGGAGACGGACAGACAGACAGATGTTCTCCCCTAGTCTGACCACCCTCCGTCTTTTTGTAGCATTACCATGCGCAAGGCCCTACCTCCCAGATGCTGGGGGATGCCCCTTCTTAACTAGTTCTTCTATCACTTATTTCTCCTATTGTTTTAACTTCTTTTTCTCTTTTCAGCTTCCAGCACAACCTGTGTCTTCCTGCCTCTTGGGCTGTTAACTGCAAGATCAGCAGTTTGAACCCACCAGCTGCTCTTTGAGACAGCGACGAGGCTTTCTGCTTCATTGGGCTAGTCTACATTGTCCTACAGGGTCACGATGAGTAGGAAGCCATTTGATGCAGTGAGGTTTTTGATACCTTAATGATCTGTCTTCCCCAAAGCTTAGTCTCTTAGAATGTTTCCACTGATTGAAAATCTCATCCAGTTTCGAGACTCTAGCTGCCATATATGAGCTGAAGACTTTGATTCTCCTGAGGAAGAGTGGCCATTTGCTCCTTCAAATCCCTCATCCGGGATTTCTTCCCCTCTCCACTGATGGAGCCCTCCCAGGCCCAGGCTGGAAGTATTTAAGGAGGTTTTTGTGGGATGGAGGGGAAAGAGAGTAAGATACTTTAAAAGCATAATAGCGCAGGGATTATATCAAGGCGTTGTCCTGTAGCATCTCTACCAACACGGGGTTATTTAGTCCCTCGCCTAACAGCATGTACTGATAGCCCCGAGGCCCAGACAAAGCAATCGGATCTTGGCACAGGGGAGGAAAGTAGAAGAACATAGAGAAGTCTTTTCTGCTCACCAGACATGGATTGGAAAATCTAAGGAGGAGATTGAAAAGGCAAAAGCAAGAGCCATTGTGAAACAGCTCTCGGCTCTATATATGACTGGGTAATGGTAAAATGTTCCCAATAACGGACTGTACCTATTTCACAAATGAGTATCTCTGCATTTACAGTTAGCTCTTTCTACCAAGATTCTAAGCTCCCACTGAACACACCCACCTGCATGACTCCAAGTCCTTAAGGTGCTTCCAACACATCTCCACCCCCTTCTCTCTCCAACCTGCTCCCCTCCTGTGCTGGCTTTTGTGATATAAAATTTCCTCTGTACTTTCCACCCCTTGCATCTGACATCTGCATGTTGCTATATGTTAATGGCCCAAAGCATCTGACATCTGCCTCTCCTCTATTTCCATTGCCTCTGCAAACATCTTGGATAATGGAATCACCTCTAAGTACCATATTAAGAAGCCATAGAAAGAGACTTAAACAAATGGTATTGACTCCATTTCCCTGGAGCAAGGAGAGTCCCAAGCTGGTGTGAAGGAAAACAGTCTATGAATAGAAAGCATGAGACTGGCAAGGCCCTGGGGTGTGTTCCAGGCTGTGGCTGAGATGCCCACCAGAGCACTGTGTGGCTGAGAAGGCTGAGACTGGCTGAGTCAGCCTCCAGTGTCAGAGTTGGGACTGGCTGAAGGCAGAATGCCCTGCACTGTCCCCTTGGCTGACTTTGCGGCTGGGCTTGCCCCTTCTGGTTCTGTATTGGGCGAGGTCGGCAGGAGTCTTGGGGGAGATCTTTATGACTGGGTTTCCTTAGGGGGAGCCTGCACTGTGCGCATCCCCAAGGCAGCAGTTGTGTGTGGCTGCAGCAGGTGTGTCGTTTCTAACTGAAAACCAAACCAGCAGGTTCCGTGGTTCTCCCCTGTGGTGGCCCATGTGAACATCCAGGCTCAAGTCCAAGGTGTGTGAGTCCAGCAGGCACCTGACACTCCCCTGCACCAGCTCTGCCAGGCGGAGAGACTTCATCTTGGCTCCGGGATTCTAAACTTCGGGATCAAAGAATGGAGGTTCTGGGACAAGACGACCCCTTCCCCCTGTAGACAATTCTGAGCTCTCTAAGCTGCTGTGCTGGTCTCTTTTTCCTCCCCTTTAGCCTTTGCATCTCTGCCTGTGAATCACTCAGCCCCCTTCCTCCTCATTGGCCCCATCTTCCCCACCCCAGTCACCTACCCCTTCCACCCCCACCTTCTTCCTCCATTATCCCCTCCCCACTGCCCCATTTCCCTTCTTCTCGCCCCACCCCCTCCTCCCTGGACCTCTGTACTTACCCTCTCCCTACAGCCCTGCTTCACCCCCATTTTACTTGAGCCTACATCCCCTACAACCTCCCTTTGGCCCCTCTTTTCTACTTTTCTTTCGTTCCTCCCCACTCCGCATTTCTCTCGCTCCCTTTTGAACCTCACCCTTCCTTTCTCTGCCCTGCTTACCGCTTACCTGTCAGCCTCCCCACTGCTCTACCCGGTCTCCTCCGCCCCTCCTCTCCCCTTCCCGCCCCTCCCTCCGTGTTTGCTTTTCTCCCGGATCCGGATGAAGGGGTTGTCCTGCCCCTGCCCTGCCCTGCCCCACTTCTGGCAGCCCCGGTCTCCCTTCATGGCTGAGGGCTGCGGGACTCAGGTCCTGGGAACAGGGCCTCCGCCCAGCATCCAGCTTCTGCGAGCCCAGTATGAAGGCTCGAGGCAGCGGCAGAGGGCCCAGGCCCACTTGGTGGTGCTCCCGAAAGGTAGGCTTGGCCCCGTGCTGGGGGCAGAGGTGATGGAGGGAAGCGGGCCTGGCCGTGCATGGAATGGGTGGCTGGGAGGGCCAGGCGGGCCTGGGCCCTGCTGGGGCAGCAGAGCAGAGAGCAAGGGAGGGAGCTGCCGCCTGTTGGCTCAGTTTGCTGTCCAAGTGACCTGGAGTCTCTGCCCCGAGGTTCACCCATCGACTCCTTTGCCCTTACTGGCCAGCAGTGTCTGGCCAACCTGCAAGGCCAGGCGGGAGATCAAACCTCACTGCCACAGGGTCGGTTCCGACTCATAGTAAACCTCCAGGGGAGTGGAACGGCCCCTCCGAGGGTGGCTTTTGGAGACTGTAACCCTGAGGGAATAGAAAGCATTTTCTTTCTGCAGCAGAGCCGCCGGTGGTTTTGAACTGCTGCCTTTGAAGTTAGCCGCCCAACACGTGACCAGTATGTCACCGGAGCTTAGGAACTCTGCTGGCCAGCTGGGTCCAATGGAGGCTCTTCCTGCCAAGTAGAGACAGTGGCTCCCCTGGGAGAAGGGGCCTTCCCTCGCAGCCTGGGAATTGGCTGTGCACAGGAAGCAGCAGGGCTCAGGAGCTCAGGAGGCTTCTCAAGTTCATGGAGCTAGCTGCCTGTACGGCAAACGCCTGCGGGGGGTGGAGGGGGTAGGGCTGGTCCAGTTAGACCCAGAAGACCTCTCCTCAGTGGGGTGAAGGGGTGGGGAATCGAGGAAAGCCTTTTGGTAACTCACATTTCCTGTTGGGAGCAAAGGGATTGGGAGACAGTGAGGGCAGAGGACTGGGAAGTGCGATGCTGTGCTCTGGGGTTTCTGTGGCTATCTGCAATTCAGTGGTCTCACTCAATGGTTCCCCTGCACCCAGCTGCCCCTTCACAGCATTCTCTATGTCCCTGATGGGTTTTAGAACTCATCGCATCACACAGAGCTCATACACAACACTCATGATTGTAGAATTTATGAGGAAAATTAGCAGATTACAATTCAGGGTTAGAAATGCTCAGGGCATAGTTCTTCTTGCAGGAGAGCCGCTTCCCAGCCATGCCCAAAGGCAAGCCCTGCTCTACCCTGTTTCCCCGAAAGTAAGACCTCCCCCAAAATAAGGCCCCCTGAAGCTACCATAACTCTGGACTCTGGACCATAGCGGCTGGTGTTGCTGCGCAGCTCACTGTTGGCCGCAGTGCTGCTGGAGCAGACAGGAAGTGTGGGGTCTCTTTTAATAAAACAATAAATAATAAATGTGCCCCATATTCTTCATGGAAAAATAAGACATCCCCTGAAAATAAGACCTAGCGCATCTTTGGGAGCAAAAATTAATATAGACACTGTCTTATTTTCGGGCAAACAGGGTAGCTCTTGGCTTTTCAGCTGAATGGCCACAGCTCAGGCAATGCTACCAAGTTACTTTAGCACACTGATATATGCTCAGAAGGCACATACACAACCCTGCCATGAACTTCACTCCAGAGCACACGCTACATTTTTGAGTCAGCAAGCCCAGCTTCCCCAATGAAGTGCCTAGAGGCACTGCCCTCTGCCAGTGAGCCTCTGCCTGCAGGCATGTAGCTTACTTGCTCCCTGCAAAGAAAGAGAAGTCTTGTGCTCTGGTTATTTGTCCGCTGCTGCTGTTCCACTGCCCTTCCCTTAGGGTCACAGTTCTTTGTCTCCTGATCAGAGAAGTTCAGGATCATGAAATGAAGCCCAAACGAAGTGCTCTGCTCCTCTTTCCTGATGGTAGTGAGATTCCCCGCTTCCTGAGATAACGCATTCTATACCCAGCCAGATAGCCCAATCGACCAATCCCCATGGTGTAGTGTTCTAAGTTTTTTTACAATTACAATTAGCCCTGCTAACAAGCACTCACAATTGAATCACATAATCTTACATCACCTTCTCTTTCCCAGACCTATCAAGGAAAGAAGAAATACACCCAGCCTTCATGATCCCACCAGCTGTTTGGTGGGAGTTACAGGAACTGTGGCTAGAAGAGGTGTATCAAGTAAATCAGGAAACCACAAGAAGGCAAGGGCTTCCTTGCCTTCCTAGGCTAGTTTCCACCCAAGTTTGGTGATCTTCCCCTGATTTCTCCTCCTCAATTCTACTAGCACTGTGAGAACTGACACAGATGATAACTAACATGTATTGGACGCCAGTCACTCTGTCAGTCACAGTGGTTAAAGATTGATATGTATTAACTTATTTAATCCCTACAACAACTACATGATTTAGCTACTCTGGTTATTCTCACAAAGGAACCCTGGCAGCGTAGTGGTCATGCGTTGGGCTGTGATCCAAAAGGTCAGCAGTTTGAAACCATCAGCCACTCTATGGGAGAAAGAGGCAGCTTTCTACACCCATAAAGAGTAGCAGCCTCAGAATCCCACAAGGGCAGTTCTACACGGTCCTTTAGAGTTGCTATGCGTTGGCATTGACTCGATGGCAGTGAATTTGTTTTTGGGCGTGGTTAGTTATTCGTACGCATGCAACGTGCTCAGTAGCTGGCTTGCTTGCTGTTCTAGGTCTCGCGCTCTTTTAGCTTAAAGACCCCAATGCAGCCGCAAATGGGAGCTGTTCGTGCAGGTTCCAGTGGTGACTGTGCTTATTCCTTCCTTCCCAGGAGGGGACATGGCTGTTTCTGCTCAATCCATGGTCAGTGCTGTGTGGATTAACAAGGAGAGGAGGAGTTCACTGTCATTGGAGGAGGCAGAACCGGAGGCTAAGGGGATGCCGGAGGCAGCAGACAGAGGCTACCTTCAGACCCCCAGCTCTCCATGGCACACATATCTCGAGATGCATTGCTTGGCACAAACCTTCTGCCAGGAGACCAGCCATCAGGCACAGCACAAGGGCAAGCTGACTGGGTCTGACCAAAGGCTTCCGCCAGAAGGTGATCCAGGCTTGTTTAAAAGCAATCAGAGCCCCCAGGAAGGGACTGAAATCCCAGGAGCTGACCAGAGTCAATGTCAGGTATGCATTACCCAAGCAAAGACAGTAGGACCCAACTTAAACTTGAACATTCAATGTCCTCCACCGGCAAAGAACCTACACAGGTCTGGCAAGTTGGCTCACTATCCTTTTCCCCAGAGGAAAACTCCCAGGATCTCCCAGGCTGCACGGAATCTGGGATTATATGGCCCAGCCTGAAGCTTTCTTCTTAGCCTGATGGCTCAGCTTTGAGGCCATCAATGACCTCACCAAAACACCAGGGAGGCAGAGCCATAACTAAGTCCTCTCACGAGCAGCCAAGAACTGCAATTATAGAATTGTGGGACATGGACTTGGGACTGGGCTGGCCCTTGATGAGATAAGAGATTGTTCAAGCAAGACTGTTTATAGTTCGGGATAAAGGGGTGCTGTCCAGTCATTGTAGCCCCATCTGGCTTACATAAGAAGGCAAAGTGCTGGAGCCCTGCGTAAGCACTGAGTTGGACATCTGTTCAGTCCGTGGAACTGGAGAATTTTGAAAAATAAAACAGAGGCTGTAGCCAATCGAGTGCCTGAGCAGTGCCCTGGGGTGAATGGGCACGAACAACTCTGGTTTCCGTCGCTTCTGATGATCTCACACATAGTCTCAAGAATTACTTTCTGTTGCTTCTCATGCTTGGAGGCCATAGGCTATACCACTTAGAAGTCACGAAGTTCACGGCAGTGAGTTGGTAGACACCGTTTGAGCATTGCTCTCCCAGCTCATGGTGATTCTCCATGCAGCGAGGAAGAACAAGGTCACCCACAATTTGGGGCTTTTCAAAGGTCTTTAGGCAGGGCTGATCTTGCCTGGTTTGCCCTGGAACCCCACACCTCCAACCTCATCACAGACTTAAAGTCTTTCTTCCTCTCCTTTTCTTTTTCCCTCTCTCTTTGAGTTCTTATTAATAATTGACCAACGTGGAAAACTACGTTGTGTTGGGAGTCTGGGCAAAAGGAGGTGAAGAAAGGCCCTGGCCTGGGAAACTCGTTTTCTCCACCAACTGCCCCCTCTCCACCAAACGTCGAACCTTGACCTCGGTCCTGGCAGCAAACATCATCTTCTCTGGAACTAAGACAAAGCACAGCAGGTGGCACTTGTGTGATGGAGAAGAAAGTGTGTCTTTCCTGGTTAATGTTTAACTTTCATCATGTTATGTAAACACCTGTAGAGTGCCTTTCCCTCCTATCAGATTCCTTCTGTGGAGTTTTACCCACACTTCCCTCCCCTCCCCCCCACCCCCCATCATGGCCATCCAGCATGCTATGCACATGCAGACAGATTCACTAGGGGGCAGCATGGATGTGCACCACAGGGTTGCCAAAACTGTACCGACTACAGAACCAGGCTGCCACATCATTCTACTGCATAGAAGCTGGTGGTTCATAGGCTGTTACTTAACCACTCCGCCACCAGGGCTCCTCTGGGAGGACCATACCCATCAAAAATACATATACATATCTGGGACATCACTGGGTTGGCGACACCCAAGGCAGTCATTCATGGGCTACCATCCCCTATGCTCAGGCAGGCACGTGAAACTCTTCCCATCCATGAGTGACCTGCTCCCCTGCCCAGCTGAGTGCTGAGCTGCCTGTCCAATCCCAGCCCGGCCTGCCCTGGTGTCCAGGGCCCCATCACCCCACGCAGCTCCCCACACCTCCTCTCCTACTGGCCAAGATGGAGACGTTCCCTCCTCTCCTCCCGATAGTGGGTCCTTTGCTTTTGTTTTAAATTCTGACAAGTGGTTTTGCTTTCCATCATTTTTAATATTTATTTCCTTCATATGTATTCCGTGAAATTAATAGATCAGTACTCGGAGTTCAGCCGTACGGTCTCCACGCATTCACTTGGCTTCCTTAGCATGGGATGACTGATCCTGATGCTCCTGTTCAATTCCAGTCTGAGGCCTTTCTAAAGATTTGAATGGCTCATCTTGATTAAAATGGAATCCTTAAGAGTGACTATGAATGCTTCTAAAATATGTGTTTCCTCTGACCTGACCAGTGGGAACCCTAGTCTTGATTTTCCACCCACTTGGGCGGGATTAGAGTCCTCAAAGATACAACCCATTAATGAGCTTCCTGGTGGGTGGAAAGGTTGGAAGTTTGAGTTCACCTTGAAAGAAAGGTTCTGGTGATTTGCTTCAGAAAAATCCACCCCAGAGAAAAGATCCCCCTGAGCAGTTTTACTCTGACATGCACGGGGTCGCCACAAATCTGGAATCAACGGCCGCTGGTTTGTTTGGGGTTTTGCTGTGTGGTTGTTTCAGCCTGGCTTGCACGGCTGGGTATGAACTCGATCCGCGTCTTTCTCAGAGCGCTCCATGGACGAAACTGGCCTCTGGTGACTGGCATAGAGCACCTCTGTAATGTTCCTTTCTTCATTGCCCAGAAAAGCCAGGTCTGGCCACTGTGCAGCGCACAGGCTTAGTGAAGGAGAGGAGAGGGGCTTTGCAGTCCGGAAACCTGGGTCCTTACCCAGCCACAGTTGATGTGTGACTTAATCTCTCAGTATTGGTTTCACCATCTGTAAAATGAGGGCGATGCATGCACTCTTCAAAGGGGTGTGAACAATTTGTATAAATGTCCCTGGTGCTCTTAGCCTAGAGCCCATGTATTGAAATGATCCAATCAAGTCCACCCAGTTTATCTCAGATAATCTCTATTATTTAAAAGCAACTCATTATGTCAGTGGACTTGACTCACATCAACAAAATACCTTCGTAGAAATCCCTCAATGAGGGTTTGAGCAACTCTTTTGATATCACAGTCTCGCCAAGTGGACATGTAAGCCGGCTAAAGCAGGCAGCAATGATTATTATTAAAATTTCACGACTCCTTTGGAATCCCTGGGTGGGTGGTGCCAATAGTTCAGTGCTCAACTGCCAGTCAGAAGGGTAGTGGTTTGGACCAACCAAGAGGCACCCTGGAAGACAGGCCTGATGATCTGCTTCCGGAAGGTCACAGCCTTGAAATTCAATGGACAGCTCAACTCTACGTGCATGAGGTTGCAAGTGACTTGGGGTCGACTGGGGGCAACCGTAACCACTCCTTCTGGACCTCAGAGCCACGCACAGACCACCCACCGCCGTCTGCTTCTGTTACATCCTGCTCCCATGGGGAGTTCACCGTGTCCTCCCCTCCCACGTGACAGCTCCTGTGAGAATGACGTGAAGATCGTGGTAGGAGGGAAACTGAGGCTAGAAATGGTCTGGGCACGTCCAAGGAGAGTAATGCTATTAATTTCTATTAAGGGGGAAGCACAAGGGGAAAGTAGGTGCATATTTTTAAAATCAATTTATTGGGGCTCATACAACTCTTATCACAACCCATCCATCCATTCGTGGTGTCAAGCACATTTGTACATTTATTGCCATCATCATTCTCCAAACATTTGCTTTCATATAAGAGCCCCCCAATAAAAGTATTTAATTAAACAAAACATGTTCTTTCTACTTGAGCCCTTGGTATCAGCTCATTTCACCCCCTCCCTCCCCAACCCTTCCTCCCTTATGAACCTTTGATAATTTATAAAAATTTTTTTCATGTCTTACACTGTCTGATGTCTCCCTTCACTCACTTTTCTGTTGTCCATCCCCCAGGGAGGGGGTTATATGTAGATCATTGTGATCGGTTCCCCCTTTCTAACCCACCTTACCCTTACCCTTCTGGTATTGCTACTCTCATTATTGGTCCTGAGGGGGTTACCTGTCCTGGATTCCCTGTGTTTCCAGTTCCTATCTGTACCAGTGTACATCCTCTAGTCTAGCCAGATTTGTAAGGTAGAATTGGGATCATGATAGTGGGGGATGGGGTGGGGGGAAGCATTAAAGAACAAGATGAAAGTTGTATATTTTATTGTTGCTACACTGCACACTGGCTGGCTCGTCTCCTCCCCACGATCCTTCTGTAAGGTGATGTCCAGTTGCCTACAGATGGGCTTTGGGTCTCCACCCTCCACTCCCCCTCATTCACAAGGATATGATTTTTTGTTCTTTGATGCCTGATACCTGATCCCTTTGACACCTCGTGATCACACAGGCTGGTGTGCTTCCATATGGGCTTTGTTGCTTCAAGTCTTTAAGACCTCAGATGCTATATCTTTTGATAGCCGGGCACCATCAGCTTTCTTCACCACATTTGCTTATGCAGCCATTTGTTTTCAGTGATCATGTCAGGAAGGTGAGCACCATGGAATACCAGTTTAATAGAACAAAGTGTTCTTGCATTGAGGGAGTACTTGAGTAGAGGCCCAATGTCCATCTGCTTTCTTAATACTAAACCTATAAATATATGCACATAGATCTATTTCCCCATCATCATATATAAAAATATTTACATATGTACATGCCTGTATTTAGACCTCTATAAATGCCCTTTGCCTCCTATTCCTCTATTTCCATTTATGTTCCTCTTGTCCCACTATCATGTTCAGCCTTCATTTGGAAGGGGGAGGCAGGGGGAAAGGAAGTGGGTGTTAACAACCCCAGGGAGAAGGGAACAAGTTATCTAAAATTGATGGTGAGGAGGGTGTAGGAGGCCTGGTAGGGTTTAATAAAGGGCAATGTAAGCGAGAGGAATTAAAGTAGGTGCATTTTATATGCATTTTGGCAACAGAATGGTGCTATGTTTAATTTGAAGGAGCCCCAATGGGGTAATGGATTATAACTCAAATTCTCACTGCCGTTGAGTCAATGCCAACTCATAGTGACCCTAAAGGACAGGGTAGAATTGCCGGTGTGGGTTTCCGAGATGGTAACTCTTTTATGGGAGCAGAAAGCCTCGGCTTTCTCCTGAGGAGCCACTGGTGGTTTTGAACTGCTGACCTTGTGGTTAGCAGACCAACACTTAACCTCGATGCCACAGGGCTCCCTGTAATGGATTGTAGTGGGACTGTTAACCCTGAGGTCAGCAGTTCAAATCCACCAGCTGCTCCTCCTATGGAGAACGATAAGGCTTTCTGCTCCTATAAAGATTTACAACCTCGGAACCCACAGAGCCAGTCTTGCTCTGCTCCGGGGCCACTGGAAGTAAGAACTGGCTGATGGCAGCCAGTTGGGGCTCGAGGTTTTGGAGTCTGAGATACTCATGAGACACAGGAATGAAGATTCCAAGTAAGCAAGTCAAGAAATAAGCTTAGAGTTCTGTACAGCCCGATGAAGGGATCTTGGTGGTACAGAGAGTTAAGCATTAGGCAGGCGGCTGACTGCGAGCTCAGTGTCCCAACCCCAAATTGCCTGGTCTTTTCCCCAGGGAGCAGGCTGGTGGTTTTGAATTGTAGATTTTTTTTTCCATTAGCAACCAAACCACTGAGTCTCCTTCAGGGCCACGGATACATGGAGGTCTTACAGGACTGTCGAGCAGAGAAAGCAGACGGAATCCAGAAGCAGCCCTGGAAAATCCCCAAGCTTAAGAAGGAGGGGAGAAGAGTCAGAGGAGGCCGGGAAGGACAAGGGAAGGAGGGGCCCCGGGGGGTGAAGAAAGTTCAAGAAACTGCGAAGTCCCAGAACTCAAGAGGCAATTTGAACTGAATTCCAAACGTCCCCTAAATCCCTGCTTCCCCCAGTCTACATTCTTCAGGCTGGACTTGCTTTCTTGAGAAAGCATTCCAGAGGCCAAGATGCAACGCCAAAATCCGCTCAGGAGCAGGGCAAGTGTGGATGGTAGCCAATTCAGGGCAGAGCTGACTGCCCCCTGCCCCCTCCCCCCTCCAAACTCCCAGCTGGGCTGGCCTGGGCTGAGGGTGCCTTTGCCTCCCCAGAGGCCTGGCTCAAGACTGGGTCTTCCCAAAGCCAGGAGGAGGACTGAGCATTGAAGTGAATGGGAGGGCTAACCTTGTGAGCTCCCCCTCTCCCTCCCTCAGGCCACCAGGAGCTGTCAGGCCAGAACAATCCCTCTCTGTTCTGCAGACAAGGCACTTCTCTGCCTGCTCCTGGGCCGCCAAACCGGTTTGGAACAGAGATGACTGAATGCTCAGCGAAACTACCTGGGACTGAGTCCTCCCCACCCTTTGTGCTGGTCAGGACTGGTGTGAACCTACCTTCCCACCTTCTCCCCAGACCAACAGAAGACGCTTCTCAAAATTAAGAGAAGCAGCACCTCCCATTGTCAATCCTGCCTCCGGCAGGTGACCTTGACTTAGGTCTCTAGGACTTGCAGGTCCACAGGCGTGATTCACCCACGCGGCTGCTTCAGCACAGGACTGTGTATCCTCCCTGCCTGGCCAGGAAGCAGCTGGATGTGGTGGCTTCTCAGCACTGTCACTTGGGGGTTGTGTGACCTTTGTTACATCACTTAACCCTCAGGGCCACAGACTTCCCAGCTGCAAAATGAGACCATGGTACCCCTGCGGGGACTTGGGTGGGACGGCGGGACTGGTTCTCATTCAGAGATGAATCAAATCCACTCTCCGGCCCCAGGAGCAGTTTGAAGGTAGACCCCTGCCCCACCCAGACACAGGCTGGATGAGGAGGAGTGGGTCGAGGGTGGAGCTGGCAGACTGTGCCTGCGCTAGGGCCCCCCCCACAACTTTTTTGTAGTTGGAATGAGGTCCCGCAATGGGCCCTCTAGGTCGATGGGAAGCATTCTTTCCAGAAGCGGATGGGATCAGTTGACTGAGGGGCAAAGACAGATTGAAAAGGCCCAGCCATCTTTTAAGTTCAGAAAGCGCCCCTTCGTGCACTTTGATTTCAGACAGAATACGCACAGGAAATACTACATGTGCCCACTGGTCTCCTCCCGGCACCCTCTGTGGGCACTCACGGCTGGTCTCCAGAGCATGGGCTCCGTCAGCTGTGCACAGTCCATGCCTGTGTTGGGAAAGGCCTTGCTCCCTCGTCCCCAAGACTCTTATAATCCAGGGCTTTAAGAGTCTCTGAGAGGCAGGAGTGGGACAAAGAGGAAGGTGGAGGGAAGAAAGCCAGGAGAGCCAGCCCCTTCCTTCCCTAGAGAGCCAAAGTCAAATTCTCTCTCCTACAGGGTTGCTCTGAGATGGCATGACTGGGCTGCTGACTGCAGGTCGGCCGCTGCAAACCACCAGGTGCTCCGAGGGAGAAAGGCAAAGCTCTCTACTCCCATAGCGTTAGAGCCGCGGAAAGCCACCCTGGCAGTTCTGCCCTGTCCTCTAGGGTCACAATGACGTGAAATGGACTTCATGGTAGTGAATGCATGCTTCCACATGTCTTGTACATGTGTCCATGGCAGGGCTCAGAGAGGCACGTCCGTCCCTGTCACTCTATCTAGCCCCCTTTTGGATCTTTCATATCGCTTTGAGGGGGCAGGGGGGGGGGCTTGTTTACTTGGCTTTCTTGGTTTGAGAGCGAGGGATCCCAATTTCCTTTAGCTGCTGGGAAAACAAGAAAGGTTCTGCCGCGGCGGAGCCTGCACCCCCAGGTCCTTCCTACAGGCGGGGCTCCTGTTCTGCTCCACCACCATTTTCTTGGTTCAAAATCTCTCCCCAGCCACTTGCAAGCGGGGCATCTGCTATTTACGAGCAATCACCCTAGGGAGAGTATGAGACAACATTAGAAATAAATGTCCTAATGAATTGGAAAAAAGTTTTTTAAACAAATGTTTTAAAACTGGATCTGGGTGTTGACGGTTGCACAACTTTATCAATGTACACGCACAGAAAACAAGACAAGAAAATCACTGAACATTCCAGTCCAGAAAGACGATACACCCATGTGGGTTGTTTATCTTTTATCTCCCCCCTTTCTCCTGGGTGAATCCACCTCCCAGCTCTGTGTGCATCCACTCCCCAAATCTCCCCAATCCCAAATCCTCCTCTAGACTTGGGAGCACGCCAACACCCCCAGCCTTGTTGCGAAAGGGTAGGAGGAGGGACAAGCTGGATGGTGACAAACACTGCCTTCGGCCTGCCCAAACTCCAAGTGCCTTAAAGGGGAGCCTGGCCTGCCCCTGGACATCACTGTCGGCTCTGGACCTGGGTGGTCAAGCCTCCTTCCAGTACTAAAGCTTTTCGGCTGCACGGGGAAGCTGGGTTCCCATGCTCAGCAGGGTCCTCCTGGTCCTGGGAGAGCCTGCCGTAGCCATTGGCCCAGGCATGGGTGCCTGCCATGGGAGCTTGCTTCCTTGCCAGATTCTCACCCAGCTGCAGCAGAACCTGGCTGGCCTCTTCAGGAGGTGCCCACAGTGAGTGTGGCTGAGCTGGTTGGGACTCCCGGGACCAGGGAAGAGATGGCTGTGTTGCACCACCTACTGGCAAGACAGGGCTGAGAAGACGCCTGGCCAGCCAGCCACCACCAGGCCTCACGGAGTGTGTGAACCAGAAAACAAACCCCTGCCCAGTTGAGCAAGTCCTCCTGTGGACT